TTATTTAAATTATTATAAACCATTAATAGTATAAGAACATTAAGAAGATTTTTATAAAACAAGTTAAACATTTTTTTCAAAATTGTTGTTTGTGAAATTTGAACTCTAAATTTGATGCTTGAAGGAGTAACAACTAGACCACTTCACTAAGCTACCACATCTTATTTATATTTTAAAATAAAACCTTCTAATAAAAAGATATAACTAAAGAGGTTATTTTAATACTAAACAAAAATCTAAAAATTTTTTTTAAAATTTTATTATTTAAAAAAAGTTACAATTCTAAAAAAATCCTTGTTATATTTTAATTCTCTAGTATATTATCTATTTATATAATATTATGTATTGTTAATTAAGAAGTATTAATATTTTTAACTTTTTTTATCTAAATTTTTTTAACTACAGACAAATTTATTTTAATAATATTTGCTTATTAGCAATATTAGAAGTTATTTTTAAATTCTACTAGTTAGTAAAATTTAAAAATAGTTTTAAGTATTGTAATTAACTAGACTATTATTAAGAAATCTTTAATCAAAAACATTTTAATATTAGAATTTTATATATATACAATGCAATTACATATATAATTTTTGCCAATAACAGGCTTGAATTTAAAAGATTTCTAATTTTCTAATTTCTATAATGTTAATTTACAAATAACAAATACTGTTAATCTTTCTTAAACTAGTATACATAGTAGATAAGTTTTGTATTGGCTTTGGAAAATTATTAGATTTGAAAAATTACATGACAAAATAATTGCTAATCTACTAATCAAATTACGGAACCAATACTAATAATTTTTATAAAATTTATCAAATTTTCTCAAACTTTGACAGAAGTTTCCTTAGTAACTACTAATTCAAATCAGCTTAAATTTTTACTATAGATAATATATATATTTATTTATAATAGATTAAAAGTTTAGCTAATTTGGATTGATAGTTCTTGAGAAATTGCTTGTATGCGATAGTTAATTTTTTAAAAAAATTGTCTATCATATACAAGCGGTTTCTCAAGAACCATCAATCAAAATTAGCTGAAATTTTTGTATGTTATAAATTAATATATATATTATCTATAGTAAATAATTGAGCTGATTTGAATAAGTAGTTATCGAGAAATCTTCTGTCAAATTTGAGAAAATTTGAATTTTATAAAAATCGTTATTGAATGCCTCATTAAATTCATGATTCTGATTGGTCGTTAATCATGTGGCCACATATGATGAATTGGGAACTTATGTTGGCGGGTTATCGGGTATGAATTAAGGAACAGGCCTGGTGGACAGTATAAAGAATTTTTTATTTTTAATTACACTCATTGCAATAGTATTAACATATTGTACATTTGGTTGTCAATTTCAGAAATAATATTTGTATTTGTTTTTTTATATATAAAAATAAAATCGATTATACAATAAATCTCTAATGAAGATACCTGATTAAATTTACCGGTTCTGAACCGGTTTATTAATTCAACTTTAAATTCGATTTTAATAACAAATTGATTTTAATAGTAAATCGGTAATTCAGTTGTAAAACTATGATAAACCGGTTTTAAAACTAAACAAAAATATATATTACACACAACTTAATTTATATTCAACCGGTTCCAATCTCTACCAAGGAAATAATTTTTCTTTAAAGATTCACTGACATCTATCAAGTAAATTTATTGCTTGTTATTTGCAATATGCATGCAAAAAAAAAAAAACCCCCCAACAATCTGTAATGATCAAATTAATAATGGTAATATGAAATCGATCTATATATTTTGAAAAATATCGACTGCTTAAGTCGAAAATTAGCTTAACCAACTTTTTTTCATTATTCATCATGATCACTAGTTGGTTGTTGTTGTTGTTGTTGTTGTTCTTGTTCATATTGTTTTAATTGTTGTATTTCGGTTTCTAATGAAGCACAAGCTACTTCCAATTGAAGTGTTTGACCAATTAATTCTGTCCATTTATTTTCTAATGCCTCGACTTGACTCCCCGCTTGAATCTATAAAATTATAAATCATAAAAAAAATTTATTAAAATATGTTAAATTTCAATGGTTATTATTATAACTTAAATACCTGTTCAGCTTTTCTCCGTTTATTCAACTCTAAAACTCTTTGACGATAATCTTCTAAAGTTCTTTGAAACTGTTGTAATTCATGTTCTAATTGATAATTATGAAGCTTCCATGAGTTTGGTCCAAATTTTTGAAGTAATTCTAGATTAAAAAATCTAATACAATATTATTATGTGTGACCTTTAAAATTAATAAAATAGGTATTAACCGTAAATAAATACCGAAGATTTTGATGATATAATTGAGCATTCGAATTATCAACAGCTTTCTTCCATAATTCATCATCTTCTTTATCATCAGGTTCGATTAATTTATATCTACTTGTATCCATTTCTGTGATTGGTTTTCCTTGTTGAACACGTTGATATTCTATTGCAAGTATAGGTGATTCCTAATTAATAGAAAATTTATTAACATATTTAATTAACAATATTAATGAACGGGATTATAATATAATAAAAACATCAAGAAACTTACTTTAAATAATTCAAAATTAGAAGGAAAATGAGAAGCATAATCTCGTTTTGATTGGGAAGGTCGTTTTCTCATTTCTTGCTCGACAAGTTTATCAACTTTTGCTCGCATTCCTTTATAAGATAATAAACAAGTTTAGTATACATATGCATAGAAATAAAGTCTTGATCTAAGTGTTCTAAACATTAGATTACCTTCATAATCAATCTCTTGATCAATGTCTTAGGAAAAGAGCAAGTCTTACGATTTGTAGTTAAAAAAACGCGTAAAGAAATTTATTATTAGCAACCTACATGGTAATGAGTCGATTAACACGTCAGGATGTTCAATTTGTTCCATTGTGATTTTTGTATCTTGACCAAATCGTGTAAACTATTGTCAACAGTTAAAGTGATAATCAGATTTCTGATTGGATAAATTACTTGAAGTATTTCGGTCACGTTGTACTGTATTATATCAAATCAAAATCCCCTAACGTGACCTAACCCTAAAGGATTCGAACTTTCGATAAAAATCACGAGGAGGGGGTCTCGAAATTAATTACTTTTAATTATTTTTTAAAATGACAAAAAGGTTACCGCTTTTCGAAATACTTTTGAAACACTTTGTATTAACAGATGATGCGGTGTCGCCTCTGTTCGGGGAGGTAACCGCATTAATAAAATTTTTAAAATCTGAAATATTTCGCCAGAATAACTTTGCAAAGAACCTATTCGAAAAAATGAATTCTACAAAGACAAGCACTCAAGCAACGCCACCAAAAACCTTTTACATAACGCGCTCTGTTGCATTATCGTGGAAATTGCAAAGGATCCATCTTACGACGGGGAAGAATCTTACAGGCTTCTGTCCGGGCGTGGCATTCCGAGAAGTCTGATGCTTTGCAAGAACACCTTGGGCCCTAATCTCTTTGAACCTTTCAAAGGATCGCCCTGGTCAAGAGAAATGCGAGAATTGGCCGAAGCACTCCAAATGAATGTTTAGTATTTCTTTAAATCCTGGCAGAACAGATATTGATATTAAAAGAAAAAAAAAAACACTAGCAGAAGCATTTCTACCTTAACTTTCTTAAACCTTGGCAATAATCTTATTCGTATTGATGAAGAAGCATTAATTTACAAATACGTTTTGTGTGATTGACTTTTTCGATTCTTCAATATATTTTATTGAAAAAATTCTTTGCAAGGGAGTCGACCTAATTCTTTATACTGTGGGGAAGGATAACATTAGCAGTATCATTTAATTTTTTAAAATGTTTTTTGCGATAAACTTTTATTTATAATAAATTCTGAATAAATATTAGTTAAATAAAATGTGGTGGTTCTCTTTTTGAAACAGCAATATAAATATTAGTTTAAATAAAATGTGGTGGTTCTCTTTTTGAAACAGCAATTCAATAAATTTTTATAAAAAAAAATTATTCCAAATTCGAAACTTTAAATTTCTTTTTTTTTAAAAAAAATGTTTAACTTGTTTTATAAAAATCTTCTTAATGTTCTTATACTATTAATGGTTTATAATAATTTAAATAAATTTCATCTATTTGCCGTAGTAATAAACTTGTAAACTTCAAACAAGATAATTAATAACATGATTAAACTTGGAAGATTAAACGATCATTAAGCAATAGCGATAATGAGAATTGAAATCATCCAAGTCGGCTAAACTGATAAAAGTTGAACGGCCAGAATCACGAATCAGGTAGATAATTTAGAAAATGAATAGATTGAGAACGAATTAAAAGATTAATTTTTATTGATATATAGAAATTCAAAGAATCCTAAGACTAAACTAGAGATTGTCTATCAATATAGTCTTTATATAAATAAAAGTTATTAAAATTCAGAGTTGGATAAAAATTAACCTATTTTTGCAGTATACTAGGAAAGTCATTGTTCACACATACATAATCTTTGATAACGAATTATTGTATGTAAATTAGAGTGCCCTAGAGAATAATGCTTTTGTATGTTACCAGATAAATTGATATTATAAAAATAATATATATTTAAAATAAATAAATTATATAATATTACCTTAAGGCGTATGTAAGTCGTATGTAAGTCGCATGATTTTGTAAATTAGTAAAGAAATTTCCCTAATTTAAGCACCACTAAAAAATATAATTTTATCCTAGCAATCACTACTGGCCTTAGTATTAAGAATCAAGCCAACAATTAATCCATAAAGACCTAATACTTCGGCAAAAATTAACATCAAAACCATTGAAACAAAAAGTCTCGTTTGTTGTACATAAGCTCTAACAAACTTTGGTATTAATATAAGGAGAAATTTTTAATTAGTATAATTGAAATAAGTTAAGATTGAAGAATTTAAGAGAAAGATTACTCACAGCATCACCAACAGCTCCTATTGAGTAACCTGCTCCTAAACCTGCAAGGCCTACTGTAAGACCTGAACCAAGGTGAATAAAGCCACTGAAAAAAAGAAAGAAATAAATTTTTGGAGATAATGAACGTTTACACTTAAACAAGGGATATAACTTACGTAAATAGAGAGTATGATTTGTTTGGGTCCACTATTAAAAATAAATAGAAAAATTAGTATTAGAGAAAATAGATAATTTTATTAATGAAAAATTGTAAACATACACGATCCACATATCAAAACAGATATAACAAGTCCATAAACGGCAATAATACCAGCCATAACTACAGGTAGAAGCGACTAAAATACAAAAAAATCAGAAGAAATTAAGAATAATAGAAGGGTAAATAGTAGAAAGAAAAATAAAAGTAACCTTCATAATAAGCTCAGGTCTAAAAGTTCCGGCACCAGCAATTCCAATTCCAGCTTTTGCTGTCCCATAAGCAGCACCAATAGCTATTTCATTGAAAGAATTTTGTAAATTCACAAAAATTCGGTATAAATAATAAATCGAGACAAATAACAAAAAACAACGGTTTATATTAAAATTTACAGCTAAAGATCATCTTTAAAATTTAGAAAGAAAACATTAGCTAACGTTTAATTTCTTTTAGAAAAAAAGAAACATAAGAAAATTAAGCATCTACCGCTGCTGCAACTCCAGCGTGTCCGAAAAACGATGCATAAACTGGGCATTGATCGCTTATTTTCAAGTCCATTTAAACAGTAGTTCTTCAAAAGAAATATCGATATTTATATAAAAGCAAACATTTTTTATATATTTAATCAATTATTATATTAATTTTTATTAAGCCAATGAAATTTCAAGATCTTATCTTAGTATACGCTTAAACTGTTAAAGATGAGTTTAATTTAATAATATAAATAACATATATATATATATATATATAGGTTATATTATCGTTACGTATAACTGTTGAACCTGCAAGTTTCGAAACAAAGATAGGAAATGCAGCAATGTCATTTTGGGGTTTGTTGCGAACATAAGACTAGGGTTGTCAATGGAGTAGCTTACTCTAAAGCACTTCGAAGTAGAACCCAAGCCAAGTTGGAGCGAGTTTAAAAATACTTTTAAAGTTGGAGCAAACTAGAGTAGCTATAGAACAACCTAGAATGCAGTAAAAGTTGGAATAATCCTAATTTAATGGAGTCTAACCCATTAACAAGACGTCAACTATTCCTGAAAGCATCAAATTGTGAGGATCCAAAAGTCATGAGGTAGCGTTATAAGTTGACTATAGATTTGGAGAAACTGTCGCGGCTTACTCCGTAACTAGTCACGACATAGGAAGTGGAATTTGTTGAGGGTAATTAATTTATAATGTTTAACATTTTAAGAACTCAGCATTATTACTAAAAAATAAATTTCTATCGTATCATGTTGGTGGATTTGATTTTTAAACCAAATCTGCCAATATATGTACAGCTTCGAAAAGACGTTAATTTTTGTGTGTAAAACAGAGAACTTTGCTTTGAGGACAAATACTGTACTTACTTTATTATGATTATTTGCTGTATTATATATAAGTGATTCATTCATTAGCTGTTAGGTGGATAAATATATAGATGTGGGTAGTTTAAGCAGATAAATGAGTATTGATAATTAATAATACCCTATAACGCGAAAGGGTAAATAATAACTGAAAATAAAATAGAATTACTATGTATTAAAATGCATGATAAAGAGTAAAACTTTACTGATGATGAATCGTTTCTTATCGATTTATGATTTGATTTTGGATCATTGTAAATTGGTCAATTACACTTATACTTCTGTCCAAGTATAATTAAATCTTCAAACCCGAACAGGTTCCAAATATTTACCGTAAAAAGGTACCCGGTGTGATGCAAGTTTTTACAATTGAATCACGTGCATTACACATAACGATGTATGATATAAATAATATTTTAAAAATGATCTACATTATTTGTCACGCAGGGTAGTTTATTTCTGTAGAAGTTACATGAACCGAAATTTGTGGATATTGATTTTACTGCCAATCCAACAATCAGACTTCTCGTTTCTTTTACGTTAACAAATGGATGCTGCCAAGGGAAATCTGACTAACAAAATTATATTAAAAATCAAGTAATTAACACTTATTATTTCAATATCATTTGAATCGCTTCTTGGTTTTAAATGTTTTTTTTTTTTTTTATTAAGAT